TAATGGCTGCCGCTGGAGAGTTTAGGTGAGTAGATTCTGCTATTAGGTCTGTTCTAGAAGATATCGACAGCAAATTAATTTTAAAAGAGGAACAGAGAAACGCGATCAAGGCTCATCTTCTTATTATAGGTGTGCAATTGCACGCTTTGATTTTTGTGGACAACAACTATGCCTCGCTTAACATACGTCACGCACTCCGTTGCTCTTATTGGTTGTAGGTCTATCCAATTGAGTGCAGAGACATTTTTTTTCCTGGTTCGTTCGAAACACGCCCCATAATCACAGCTCTATGGAGCAGTATCAGACTCATATTCTGACTAGAATTGAGTCGGACTACGTCAGGCTAGCCCAAAGCACCACTGGAGGACAACCCATTAGTGTAACAGCTTACCGTATTTTCACGACTATAAGGCGCATATAAACGTCTTTCTTTTTCCCTCAAAATGTGCACCGCACCCTTTGGTGCCCTATGTGTGTTGTTAATGCGGACTTTTGAGACCGCCATGAGAATGTTAAAGGGGGAAGTGTGGGCATGGATTATGTATAAAAGAACAGGTATGTGCTTTACGCAGAACTGCTCATCTCCTCATTGAGGAGATAATGAAAGAGTGGCTGAGGGAGGTGAATGTAAGGAGACCAGGTGTTTTTTTTTCCACTCATCACCATTACTGTTAATCTGTGACTCCATGCGTGCCCATCTCACAGCTGATGTGAAAAACATGGTGAAACAAATTAACGCTGTGCTTGCTGTTATTCAACCGCTCGACATCGGTGTGAACCAGACGCAGCAGGTGCAGCAGAAGCAGCGAGTTTACATGCAAAGTCAATGGTTGACGCGCATATAGGCGCAGCAAAAGGTCCCGCAGCGCGTTTTGAGCAGCAGGCGCAGCGCGTCAGGAGCGTTTAAGCATCTGACGCGCTTGACGCACCGCCAAAGTGCTGCTGCTCGAGATGGAAAAATTGAAGTTTTGCTGCTGGACGCGCCGCATCAACCAATCAGAGAAGCTGATCTGGGAGCTGACAGCGAGACAGACACATTGCTGATGATACACATATAAGAGTGCTGTGATTGCTCCTCTGAAACAGCTTGACGCCTAAATTAACTTAACCTGCCGACAGAATATGCTCGCTTTTATTATCCTGGTGCCTGCAGCCGCGCGTCAGAACTAACTGGTACAATCTAAACTGCAGGCACCAGGATAATAAAAGGGAACATATTCTGCCGGCAGATTACTGCATTTTAAGTTAATTTATAAGTCAATAAACTGTTTCAGAGGAGTGATCACAGTGCTCTGTGTCATCAGCGATGTGTCTGTCTCAAGGCCAGCTCCCAGGTTTGATTATTACTTTGTAATAAATACATGAATAAAGCACAAACATTTTTAAATACGCAGTAGAGGTATTTAAACGTAGTAGAGGACATGTACCTGTATATAAAAAAAAGCGCCCTATAATCCGGTGCACCTTATGTGTGTGTTAAATGCAGAAATGGCACACATAACTGAGACTGCGCCTTTTAGTACGGTGCGCCTTATGGTCGTGAAAATAAGGTAATTGAAATCAAAGCATATAACATTTCTCAAGACCATATATTCCGATTAATTACCATACAAACTAATCAGAATTCAATTTTACTGAATTATTACAGCTACTACATAAGTAAACTGTCAAAAATTGACTGTATTAATCTTTTATTTTAAACCTGTTTCAATGAGTCAATACAATTTTTACATTTAAGTTGTTCTTAAATTTCTTTTATTAAGAATTGTTGAATTGAATTTTACTAATTTTTAACCTGCCTTTTACTGTGTGACAAACCTGGTCAGGCTACACTATTAATATAATCACATGGTAAGTAAAAACAGTCGACTTTATCACTTTAGACATTAATTGGTGAAAGAGATTTTTTTTAATTTATCCCGTTTGACATAAATTGCCGTCATCATAAATATATGCTGGTCATCTTAAATTGAGGGTTCATTTAACTGGTGTTTGTGACAAAAACAGCAGATAGTAAAGCTATCAAACCCATGAAGATATCAATCTGCTGTAGCCCAAACTGAAATCTATATCCTTAAAGGAATAGTACACCCAAAACATGATTAGCCTTCATTTTCTACTCACCCCCATGCTGCACAACACTCTGGAGTACTTTTTTGATATCTCAAATGCATCTGGAGATCTGGGAGGCTTCTTGCTGTCTGCTGACATTCAAATAATGGAGGTCTATGGCGCCCGAGGCAGAAAGGTCCATAAAAACGTGTCAATATTCCTCCATACTGCTCGTCCAATGTATTCCAAGTTTCCTGAGTGGGTAGCATCCAGAATTTACTCGAAACGAAGTCATTTAGAATGTTTTTAGAGCATAAACAGTAGTGTATAGGATTTCCTGAAAGCGCGCACCTGCGCGATCCCGACGCTACGGAAGCCGGCAGACCAAACCAGCGCATTCAGCTCGGCAAAGAACTCATGCTCTTCCTCAACACTGAAGTCCTCAGACATTTTTCTTTCGTTGTTTCTTTCTTTGCACAGGTAAACAGCACATTTCTTCTTCTACGCTTGCATTATTGGAAGAGCAGACGCTGAATGCGCACTTTCATCTGGTTTGGTCTGCTGGCTTCCGTAGCCTCGTGATCGCGCATGTGCGCGCTTTCAGGAAATCCTACACACTACTGTTTATGCTCTAAAAACATTCTAAATGACTTCGTTTCGAGTAAATTCTGGATGCTACCCACTCAGGACACTTGGAATACATTGGACGAGCAGTATGGAGGAATATTGACACGTTTTTTGTGGACTTTTATGGACCTTTCTGCCTCGGGCACCATAGACCTCCATTATTTGAATGTCAGCAGACAGCAAGAAGCCTCCCAGATCTCCAGATGCATTTGAGATATCAAAAAAGTACTCCAGGGTGTTGTTCAGCATGGGGGTGAGTAGAAAATGAAGGCTAATCATGTTTTGGGTGTACTATTCCTTTAACAAAAGAAAACAAAAGTTGACTTATAAGAGGGGTGAAATAATGCTAAATTCAAACTAGTTTATTAAGCTACCATAACATAAATTTGATATGCATTAGAGTGCTGAGTGCACAGTAAGCTAGCTTCGCCACTAAGAGAGCCTTTGTTCTATAATTGTGTGCTTTGAGGAGTTGCAGTCTCTTTGCAGAGAGGCTATGTGATTGCATCTTGATAGCTATAAAAAAAGGCTACTCTCACCCCACAACACTGGAGGAAACAGAACAGTGCCGAGAGCCCGCCGGGCTACACTCAGAGAGCACTTGTCTAACGGTCTGAAGGGACTGTTACTTCTGAGACACTAGAGCCAGGAAGTGAAAATGCTTTCCATTCCCAAAAGGTTGCACTTTCAATGTGTCCTAACTGGCTGGGTCTGGGACATGAATGGAAACTATGGAAATTATGCCAGTAGTTTTTTTCTTTCTTTTTAAATCTTTGCACAAGGCTACCTCTTTGAGCAATCAAATTTAGTAACAAGGATGTTAAGGAAAAGGTTGTGCTTCTACATTAGTGAAAAATGACACCTTTTTAAGAGGAATCTTTTGTTTTGTTTTTCTCTTTAAAGTAGAGATCCACTGAATCTAAATGTTCCGATGAGCAATACTGCTACGAGGGTCGTTCAATAAGTAATGCCCCTGACCCACTTTGTGATGGTTGATTGACCTGAAATTTTGCATGTGAAATTATTTAAATCTCTATATCTTAAATAGCAATTTACAACTCTGAACTATTTGTGGTTTCTGATTTACAGGTGTTCAAACTGAGTCAAGTCTGAGGTTTTTGCATTTGAAAGGTAGCACACCACGTGAGACTTTTGATCAAATGAAAGTAACATAGTGATAATGTCCAATAATATAACCTTGTAAAACGTTTTGCAAGGCCATTTAACGGGCATCATAAACATAAGTTACTTTATTTTCATCAAAAGACTCCGGTGGTGTGAGTCTTTTCAAATAGAAAAACTGAATCACTGTTCGACACTCAACAGGCTCCATTATGGACTTTACTCAGTTCAAAAAGTCAGAAACCACAAATAGTTCAGAGCTGTAATTTGCTACTCAATCTATAGAGATTTAAATAACCTTACATGCAAAATTTCAGCTGGATCAAACATCTGGAAGTGTGTCAGGGGCATTACCTTTTCAACCCCCCTCATACCTAGTTTATTTAGTCTTTTGTGCTACTTTAATAATTATTTATATTTTAGAACTACCTCTACCAAAGAACCTGGGTAGTTTTTCTACTGAAATTTGCACGTGAAACTTCAAAGAAACCCCCTGATGGAGGCATCTGCAGACAAGATCTATATGTAGAAATCAGTGCCAAAGGAACAAAACAAGCCCTGCGGCAAAAATCTGACAAAGCTGTGGTTCTAAGTCAGACGTCTAAAAACGACCTTTGCAAAACACGGTTAATCTAAGATTTATACATTGTGTTAAATGTACATCAGCTTAATATTTGAAAAGCTTTATTCTTACATATACACTTAAGATCAGTTTTACAAAGGAACTGTACGCGTTATTAAGCGAGCCTTTTAAACCGCTGGTTATTGTAATATGAGCCTGCGGTATGTGGCTCCTATTGTGTGTTTAGAAGAGAATTGCATGTCAACCTCCGGAGGCAATTTCAGCGTTTCCTAACCAGATATCCGAAAAACTATAGTGGCGAACGTCCTGCAGCAGCAAGCACTGAACTGATCTAGCTCTTTTCACGCTTTGCAGTTTAAAGAATCGTGACACCACAAGCCCAAACATGCTATAGGGGAATAACTTCCTAATGTTCGCGCTTATAGACAGATTCAATAAAGCAGAAGTGAAAAGAGGATGTATTTGAGGCAAAGATTGCAAACCTCAGCTAGATCCGCTAAAGCGTCGATGACAAATAGCTTGAAAATGCTAGCAGTGATTTAATAGCAGCAAACAAATATATGGGAGAAAACAAAAACACACACCATTAGTTTTACAAATATGGCTACATTTTTACCTGAATGCTGCGTGAATATATTTATCGCTGGGTCGGGGGCGATGGCCACGGCTGTCCTGCCCGGGGGCATCCCGGTGCTGCAGCCGGGTTCCCGGGGTCTCCTCCCGGCGACGCTCCCCCGGCTCCCCTTCCCCTGGTGTGGTTGGGACGCGTGGGTCGGTGGCGGCTGGAGTCCGGTCGATGTAACCTCACCGACGCGGCCGACCTGCTGTCCCATTCCGGTACTTTGGTGTGAGGATGTCTGGGACCAAGCAAGCAAACCTCCCCCGACAGTGTCCCTACGGTTCACATTCCCCCGAAGCTGCCGCGGCCTAACCCGAATCCTCTCTCTGGTGTTTCTCTGTGAACTAGCCTGTTAGCTCGCTCGGCTACCGATAGCGGGCTACCTCTGAAACCCACCAAGGCTGCCTCTAACAATAAAAACCCCAACCCTGGTGCGTGACAGCGATGTTCTCTCTCTGGGTGGTCCAGATAAATTATAATAGGAAATTAAAACTACCAGAAGAATGAACCCAGTCAAAGCGGAGCGAATCTCAGTGGTTTAGCCGTTGTCGAACCGCTGCGCGCCCCCTCTGACGCCGCCATCTTTACCGCAGAATAGAGGATGTGTTCCACAAGGCGGAGGGCTCCCCTGGGCCCCCTGTCAGCTCCAATACCTGCCTGCTCCAGGAGTGGCCATGCAGGCTGCTTGATCAAAAGATCATTAAAATACTTAAAAGGAAAGGGACAAATTCATTTCCCCCCCAGCCACTTAAAAAAATGAGATACTTGGATTTTTATTATCAGGAGACGATTAAAGGGTAAATCAAAATACAAATCTGAAAATGTGGATATCTTTTATAAATACATAAAATACAAGATACAAATGTATTAGAGACGAATCCAAAGAACGGTTCTCATTGCAAACATGTTTTATATAAATTTATATAGTAAGCAGCATTAAAAGAAAATGTATGGTAATTCTTCAGATACATTTTGTTGGAGAATTACAGGGATCAATATAGGTTAAAAAACCCATCAATGATAATCAAACTAAAGGCAAAACTAACATAATGTAAATAGATTTCTACTGTCCAGACTATAAACACTACTTTGCTGCTTAGTGGCACCTTTACAAAGTGTTAGAATCTGCAGAAAATCGAGCAGAAACTTGAACATTTTCAATCTGTACAAGATGAAAAATAAACTTAATGGTGTTTTTAATCTCATAGTTTAAGAATCTAGGGAATCTGTTCTGATTCAAATGAGCAATTAAAAAAAAAAAGGTTAAAACTTTAACTAGTGCGTCACCTAGTGGTTGATCTGGTCTTTCTTGTGAAATTCTCTGTTTCTGCATTGCTGGTTTCTACATCAGTTATGCAACATTTTCACAAATATCCAAACATGTAAACTTCACAGCCAAATAATGTATCAAATACCCTTAAAACATCACTTCAACACCAAAGGGAGAGTAAATTACATACTTTTATGACAGTAAAGTGCATCATTGTAGGACTTTGATTACAAAACAATAATTTGAAGGTAATCAGAAATTGCAATAATGAGTATTACATTGTTGTGACATTTAAGCAGCCAGCTGCAATTATGACAGATTTTGTAACCGTTTCATTAGGAAGTCATTATATAGAACTCTGAATATTTACCATATACAAAGAATATCAAATTACTCATTTTCAATTATCTTATAGAACCTCAATATCTTCCAAGTACTTATATTAATATAGAATACATTCAGTAAAATATCAGCAGTTACAGAACCTTCACATCTCAATACTCGGTAAATCCTTGGGTTTTACACATTTATCATTTAGGTAACCAAAGTATCTATACGTTGTGGCTTTATTAGAGGAACAGATTAGTTCAGTTGTGCTTCATCAGCCTGAAAAATATCTTAGTAGTAAATGAGTATCTTGCAACGTTTCTTGTTGTGATACAATTTCAGACACTTGAAAAAAAAATCTGTCTGGTGATGTTATTACAGTAGTTCTTGCAGGATAACTCACCGATTTCATTTTTAACAAGCAACAACATGCTGCCTTGTTGAACATCAGCTATTACAGAAGATGTGGATAACGTGTTCATTGTGTAATGTTTGTATTAAGCTGCCACGTCATTATTTGCACAAGGAGCAGTTTCAAAATGAGACCGAATCAATAGGGACCCATGATAAACAATATTCAAGTTGGCACTGCCAAGTTTTTTTATACATTTCTCTTGAACATTGGCAACGGAAAACTCAATAAATAAGGCATCTCTAACCCTCCTCCATACATTCATACACTGTAAGACTTAAATCATAATGCAATAAATAAAGAACAGTGAGAGATGAGCTGGTGTAGTCCATGTTGACTGATGATGTCTTTCTCAATAGTCCCATTTCATCTTATCGGACAGAGCCATCGGACCTCTCTGACAGCTCCAGGAGCGAGGCTTCACAAAATCAAAGAATGAAGCCTGAAACAGAAAGGCATAATAAATAGCTGTACAATAATCCACCTTCCTGTCACACATGTAAATTGTTCATACTTCTTAAACTGCTTCAAACTTATGGAAAAACAAACTTTAATGTTTTTTCTTTTATTGAGATTGTAGAGGATGGATGGGGCAAAAAATAGTAGAACACAATTATAATGAAGGAAAATGCTGGATGACCCTCTGCTTCGACACTCCTAAATAAAATCCACTGTTATCAACTGCTTTCAGCTGTAATATGATTAATCTATGAGATCTCTTAGACTAATTTGTTACCTAAACCAGACAAATGCCTCGTTAGCAGCCTATGTATAACTAATGAGGGCCATATTTGTTTTAGTTGTACGGATGCAGGCACCCCTGGCCTTTTTAATGGATTAGAATGGCCCAGTAAAAGACTAGAGTTAAATCCAATTGAAACTGTTAAAAAACTTTCCAAAAAAAGACTTTCCATAAAGCTAAACTAATGTAAAGCTTTGAAAAATCATGCACAATCCCCTCCCTAACTCATATTTCCAGTGTTCTTTATTATTTTCCAATCACATGAAATCCCAATAAAACATTGAACTTCGTGGCTACGCAATATATAGATTTAACAATTTATAGTTTTAAATGCTCTGCATTACCTCTTTAAGTGGACAGTAGCATCTGGCATACCACTCTTGAGAGTATAGACACATTATGACCCCTTGACCCAGAAACAGGGACGTCCACATTAAAATGTTCCAAATTGGGCCTTTCCTCTGATCGTGGAGAATAAAGTTGAACATCACTGTAGGAAGGAAATTAATTTAAAAAAGGGTTTTGAAAACAAAAACGAGATAAATGCACTGCATATCAACCCCCTTACTTCCAAAGCACATGAAGAGGCAGAAAAGCACCGGATAGAAGAATCCGAAGCTCACTGCTAGAATGTATTCATGGACCACTGCGGACACCGTGAACACAAAAAGCATGGCAGCTGGTCGGAAACGCTTCTCAGATATCTGTAAAGGCAGTAAAATCTGTTCAGAACAGATTCCATCATTGTAAAGTGCTCTGGATTTCAACAGAAAAGCACACTCACCAACAGGAAGTCCCTGTAAACGTAGTAATACAGCCAGTCGTGGACCACCACGTTCCAGGTGCGGTAGTAATTGGCATAAGATGTCGAGTTCCACCAGTCCTACAGTTTTTAATTCAAAAATTATTTAAAACGCATGATTTCAGTGCTTGTGTAACTATTTGTCGCAAAGAGTGATGGCAATACCTTGTAAAACATCCTGTCTGCAAAGCGAAGCATCTCAGCAAAAGCGTTGAGCCAGCAGTGGAGAAAGGCAAAAAAACCCAACAGAAGAACCAAAACTCCTGAGATGAACACAAAAAAAATAATAAAGTAAGAGTTTATAAACATTATACCCCAAGCAGGTGAGGGTAAATTTACCTGGCAGTATAGAGTTAAAGACGCAAAGGACCATGGCGCGCAGATTGAACAGCTGCAGACTGATGCTACGAAACTGTGGGATGCACAGCCGCACAAACACGTAATAGGCATAAAACAGACAGCCAAGAACCTGTGATGAATAGAGAAGGTAGAAATGTTAGAAAATGCACTATCACTACAATATCATGCAAGGGCAACATGATACTGTACCTGTAGTAACTTCGTGGCAACATAGCCCCATCTGGTCACCGGGTTTCTGGTGGAAACAAAATTATTTGGTTTGGGCCTAAAAAGAAATCGCAAATGAAACTAGACAAATATTTAATAGAGGATATTTACCTGGGGTACTTGTCTCTGTAAATAAGAGTGGGTGCAAAGAGGAAGTATAGATACTGGGAAACTTGAGGAACCACAGGACCATGGCCTTTAAACGAGCATTTGAAATGACAAGGGGAGAGTACAGAGTGAGAAACTGAAATGGGAAGCATCTGTACAGCTGTTTGCAAAAGTATTCATATCCCTTTAACATTTTCAAAATGAATTGAGGGGTTTGTGTAACAGAGAAACCCAAATAAGCTGTGTGTGACATGCATTCTGTTCAGTACCCCTTTACCTTGATACCCTTAAATACAATCCATCTTATAAGAAGGCTATTGTGTAATTTCTGTGGCTATCAAGTTTAAGTGAAATTGTGTTATACCCGTCTTCTCTTTTGCCCAAGTCAGGACCCTTGGCACATTCTCTCTGACAAAGGAGTGGGCTTTCATCATTAGACGAACCTGAGACAAAATAAATATCCGTGTGAAAAGTTGCACAATCAAGCATCAACCATGATTAAAAATAACCCCACTTCCATTGGATCACCTACCTGCTCTATGATGACGATGAAGCAGGAAGCAGGTGGTAAACCGTTGGTCAGAACCACATATGTTGGGAGGAAACCCAAACCCAGGCCTTGATAGAGCAGGAATGCAGAACCAAACAGCCAAGTGTACATCCTCTGTTGGCCATGAGAGCCTGACTGGCTTTGTGACCACAGATGGAACAACGTGTAAGGAACCAGCAATACGGACAGAAACATGCAAAGCCACGTGCAAACCACTAGAGGGAACTGTCCAAATGCATAGACCAGCAGGTCAAAGTCCAAGACGAGTCTGAGGCAAAGAAGATAAGCAGATTTCTTCTCAATATTGTGTTTGGTTAAATAACAAAAAATAAAATCAGAAGAAGATAAAGGAAAGTACAGTTTACAGCCTTACCGGCCTTCGTCGAGGAAATCTACCACGAGTGTGCTGAGAATAAAGAGAATGAGCAGGGCAATAAACATGTGGTAGATGGTCCTAATGTGGTTCACCTCAAACAGCTCACTGTGGAAAAACACACATCATAAATCTACTTCTGTACAGTGTGGCTGTATGAGAAAGATGTTGCAGTCTTCAGGAAAACCAACCCACCACACTGCATTCAAATCACACAGCATATCATTTGAATGACTTATATAGTCGAGTATGGACTTACTCTAGCAGGGATCTCCGACTAACAAAGTGCTTTCCTCGGCCGTGGGGAGGCTGAAAGTGGCTGCAGAAAGGATCACAAGGAAAGGGGAAAACTCTTATAGTGTTAAAGGTGAAGACTTTTGCATAAATTTGTGTATCTTTGACGAGAAAAATGCAGCAGTACCCGAGTTTGCTTCTCTCCTTGTCGGACAAAGGAGGTGAAAAGGCGGCAGGTAGAGGTGTGGACTCGAGGCTAGCTGACTCTTCAATTAGACTGTCCATAAAATCATGGACCTGGCTTTCAAACTGTCGCATCATGTCATTCTTCAGGCCCTGGATCAAATAAAAAGCATGCAATAAAAACTTTTTAGGTAGGCCCTTTTTAGATCAAGGCCTGGTATCATAAACGGTTCACCTGTCCAGGTCACTGCAACTTTCACAAAGTGAGTCATGGACTTTTTAAACCTTGAGCCTGAATGCATCTTTTCCATTAATCTGTCCAGTAAATGTCTCTGTTCTTATATTACTCATGGGTCATGATTTAGTTTCATAAACATTTAGTATTTACTGTCGGAAAAGATCAATTATTAAAAAATTGTTTTTTGGTGAATTAATTCAGTTAGTTCACAGATAAGCAGATTAAATTAGGTTAACATTTTCTTTTTCCAACATTCAGCCAAACAGTAAAGTGAATACTTTTGTGAATAACTGCTTGAACAATATTGGGTTTATATTGTGTTATTACTGACCATCTTTGATGCAGTAGTGATAAAAAGTCTTCGGATACAAGTAAAAGTCTGTGGTCATTCAGTGCTGCAGTGATGCAAATATATGATGTAGCTCTTTACTGACCAAAGACTTTAGGTAGAATCAAAATTTGACAAATAAATATCTCACACAAAGAAAGTTGTTTAAATCTTATTATTGTCATCAGTCCCACCATTAGCACTTCCATGTGAATCTCTTTCCTCTTTTCAGAGTAATTTTCTAATCATAACAGCTTTAGATCAGTGACTCGATATCCAATAATTTTCTGTAGCAACAAACCATTAAGTTTGGTATTTTATATCAAATCCCGTGACCAGAATGAGCATAAAATATCTATCATATAGTGCTCACACACTGTTAAAAATTGTCCTGAGATGGGAGCCTCTAATATCAACCCATAATAAAACATCCCCCACTTCTCTCTGCATCCGGGAAGTCTTTTACGATAGCAAAGTCATTAGGGATGGGAATCGAAAACCGGTTCCTGTTAAGAACCGGTTCCGTATTTTCCGATTCCATGGCATCGTTTGGCAGCTCGCTGAATGATTCTTTTTTCGAGTCCCGCAGCACCAGAGCCTAGAGCGCCGGCTCTGGGGAGCACGACTTACGTCACGTTTTTTACGTAAGTTACGCAAGTTACGCAAGTTACGCAAGTTGGAAGAACTATTCGAGGAGGAAGACAACGAGCTGCGGTCACTTTGTGAATCAAAGTCCCGACTTTCCTTAGCCCAGACGGTAGATCAGGAAATCCAGCTCTATAAAAGCTTGCCCTCCATCCCCTGCAGGGATAGCGCCACACTGTGGTGGTGGAACAAGCAAGATACGCTGCCCTTGCTATCTGGACTGGCTGAAAACTACCTCTGTGTGCAGGCTTCGTCCACCCCATCTGAGAGGGTGTTCTCCATGGCTGGAGACACCTTAAGCCCTGAAAGATCCCGTATCCTTCCAGAAAAGCAGATATGCTCATCTTTCTGCAAAAGAACTGTTAATTTTCCCTACTACTGTTTTATAATTAGTATTTTTTGTTATTTAAAATAGGTTATTATCCCATCATTTGTTATTAGACATTGTTGGTTATTAAGTTTGTTCTTGTATTCATTTTTCATTTAAACACAGATGTTACTCCAGTTTCACATTTCCTGTGGACATCTTGATCTTGTTGAGTTTGTAAGATTGTGCAATAGTTAAGTAAACAAAGTTGATTCTGATAATCAAACTGTTTGTTCTCCTTTCCCCCCCAAATTGGAATCGAAAAAAGAATCGATAAAGAATCGAATCGTTTCATAGAATCGAAAAGGGAATCGGAATCGTGAAAATCTTTTCAATTCCCAACCCTAAAAGTCATACATACTTATATTGGCAATGTGATTACGAATAACAAATCAAGCAGCTCAACCACCAACCAACCTCTGCTTTCCTTTTGAGTTGAAGCTTTCTACTGATCACATGCTCCACTTCAATTTTCCCTGAAATTAGAACACCACAATGAAATGTTAAAAGAAATAACAATATGAACTGTTCTGTACAATAAAAATAAATAAATAAATAAATAAATAAATATATATATATATATGCAGATTCCTGCCGTGTGCACACCTAAAAGAAATAGAAACATGTCCTAATTTTTAAGAAAGCTCCTGATAGGAAGGTTTTGAATCAATTAACATGAAAGACAGCACAACTAAAAGAGCGTTTAGTGGAACTAAGATCAGTTTGAATGTGGGGAAAAAGCATTTGAAATGAATTCTAACAAAAACTGGAAAACCCAAAATGTCATATAGTCATTCTCACTAAGGTTACTGTAGGTCATTGCTATTCTCAGTGATCTGATGACCAACAAGCTTTCTTTTAGGTCAACTGTGACTAACTGTAACAGCTGAAGTTGCACTCCAACCATTATGTCATGTAAAAAAACAAAACAAAAAAAATCTAAGGACGTCAAATGCTATTTTTCCCCGTAAGGTGAGCTCTTATGGACAAAAGAGAACAGTTTCCCTAATAATTAATATTTTCCACAAAGGTAATGTTCCTACACTTAGATAATCTCGCTTCAATCGATTTGATTTGTGTTTATCTAGCTCTGACATTTCTACTGCTAAAACACGTCATTATCACACTTCCTACTGTATTTCACAATGAAAGTGTATCAGAGGTCACAAGTGTTTGCTTAAGAGGAACACATCATCACATTTTGGTCTGTAACACCATCACTGGAAAATAACTGATCCCCAAAAAACAAAAAAAAACTAAATGTTAGGGGTTAATGCCCCCCTATACAATCTGTGCATGTTTGCTCACCATCAGAGGCGTAGCCATAAAATTTTTATAAGGGTGGCCAGGCAATAACCAATGTACACTGAGGGGTGGCCGAAAGTGTAAAGGCACCAGAACCTCATGGTCAAGCCAAAGATAAGACTAACTATACTTTCCTACAGCCTTTGATAACAAATAAACGCATATATTTAAACATCCGTGGTTTCTAGAAAAAAGGTATAGTGCATAAAATATTTTCAGGGTTCTGGGGTAAACATCTTTTCCATTGTCATTACTTACCTACTTTTATCGATAATTACTCTGCATAAAATTGATATTTACAACCACTAATATCTACATAAAATCGATTATTTAATACATTTTTATTCAAATAGTTATTTATCTATGATTTCACTGAAGACTCATGGATGACTTGCACAGACACATCATTTTTTTTATTTACCCCATATAAAACAAAATCTAATTCTGAAAAGAGCATGAATTCTGTACTTATCGTCTTTAATGTTAGTATATTGATGTGTATAATTAACCACAGTGTTTTTGTTGTCAAGAAATTATGAATACATGAAAAAATAGTTAGTAATATATGAACAATTTTAAAGAATATTTCACTTTAGAGTATTTCTGCTGCCATCATCTGTATTAGAGGGGGAAAAAATGGTAGATTAATTGGCTAAGGGTGGCCATAGCCACCCCTGGCCCCCCATCTAGCTTCACCCCTGCTCACCATTGCTGGTTATATGGTGGTTATCGCCATTCCCATGCGGATGTCTTCCAGGATTAGAACCTCCATCCAAATCTGAGGAGGCGGGCAGATTGTTGGCGGTTCGGCTGCGGGATCTGAGCAAACTTTCACTCTCGCCCTCCATCCTACAGAAACAACAAAATAACCCCAAAGGCTCCAGTTATTTACTGCTGTTGCTCTGGGGAGGGTTTTCCAGGGTAGCATGTTAGGCAAAGGAATGAGAAGGATTTTATAGGAAGGACAAAGCACACTCTCCTATGATTAGCCACACAGCACCTAGCTGCTGAAGTATTATCGCTTCTGTCTAAATGGCAGAGCTAGTTAAATTAGCCCTCAGTGGTCAACCGCGGGCGAAATGAAACTGAATAAAAAATGTCCACTTGGCTCATTACTTACTCGCTTCCGCAGGCTGCTCCTCTCTGTCGAGGCTTCCCAGGCTACTGAGCAGAGCGCCAGCAGATGTCTGATGTCTAATAGCGACAACGTGAACTCAGCTACTTCATTTACAAACACTGACAAGATGATGTGTCAGAGCCTCGATGCTGATTGGCCAAAAGTCTCTCCTCCTTTTGACGTCATGAGCAACGAGGAAAAATAAGAGTGTTTCAACAGAATTGAATTGAAAAATGCATCCTATACACCAAAATCTCCGAATCATCAATTTATCATCTCAGAATGAAAAATGTCATCTTTCTAGTTCAGCTCAGTTCAGTACAGGGGCGGAGCTAGATGGGGGGCCACCCTACCAATTATTTCCCTCTAATACAGATGGTGGCAACAGTAATACTCTCAAGTGGAACATTCAAAACATTTAAATTTTTTATATATTAACAATTACTTGACAACAAAAACACTGTGGTTTATTATGCACATCAATATACTAACATTAAAGATGATAAATACAGAATTCAAGCAGAAATAGATTTTGTGTTTTATCGAGTAAAGAGTCATCTAGGAGTCTTCAGTGAAATCATAGATAAATATTTATTTAGATATTTGTACTTGTAAATATCAATTTCATGCAGAATGATTACTGATAAAAGTAGTTAAGTAATGACAATGGAAAAGATGTTCACCCAAAACTCAAACCTGAAAGAATTTTATTCATTATACCTTTTATCTAGAAAGCACGGATGTTTGAATATATGCGTCTATTAGTTAGCAAAGGCTTTCGGAAAATATAGCTTGTCTTTATTTAGAAAATATTTAAATTCAATTCAGTTTATTTCTATAGCGCCAATTCACAACACGTGTCGTCTCAAGACATTTTAAAATTCACCAGATCATACAATCAAATTGATTCAAAGTTTTCTATCTAAGGAAAACCAGTTAATTGCATTGACTCATTGACTCAAATGCAATCCCTCACGCTAAGCATGCTTGTAGCGACAGTGGAGAGGAAAAACTCCCTTTTAGCAGGAAGAAACCTCCAGCAGAACCAAGCTCAGTGTGAGGGGCCATCTGCCGAGGCCGACTGGGGTTCAAGGAGACAGAAGCAGAGATACAAAAAGCAGCTGTAAAAGGCGGCCCCGTCCAGGAAACACACAGCCAGGCAGACGAGCTCCAAGCCAGCTCCCATGTCAGAGGATGAAGAGAGCACATCCAGCCAGTCATGGTCAGAGAAACAGGACTACACTGGAAAACAGGCCGATCTCCAGCATCTATAAACAAGGGTGTTGATGGTAGCAGCACAGTTGATATTTGTCTCCAGGATGGTGTCACATCTAAATACGGATGTTTTGCTCATTCATTTCCCAGTTGGAACATTGCAGATTTACCGTGAGGTTCTGGTGCCTGTCCACTTTTGGCCACCCCTCAGTGTACATTGGTTATTGCCTTGCCACCCTTATAAAAATCTTCTGGCTACGCCTCTGGTTCAGTAGCTTTTATTTTTCCCACTATGGGCAATTTTTGTGCAGTAGTAGTACACATTTCACACACACATTCAAACTTCGTACATAAAAACACATTAAACACATAAAATATAAAAAAAAAAGATAAAAGTGAGGTGGATAAATAAATAAATATGTGCAGTGCAGAGGATGAATAAAAGCGTAGGCCTATATGCATGCAACATATGACTATATGCTTTTCCTATTAGCGTTTAGCAACTAAACAGCAGAGGGAACAAAGGAGTGTTTTTTTCTATTGGTCCGAGCTGGTGGATATTTAAAACAGGAACCAGAGGGTAGAAACTGGAATTCGTTATGTAGGGCAGTGGTTCCCAAAGTGTATAGCGCTACAGCAAAAAGCAGGCTCACTACAGCCACTGAAAAGATGGGAGGATTAAAGTACAAAGAAAAAAACTCAGGGAGCTGTTCAATGTTTTCACTCCATTTTGCACAGAGGCTTTTTAAATGTATAGATTAAAAAAAAATATGTTTAAAATAACACAGACAACAAAGAATCCTCTTCTGATCTACAGTATAGAACTATGAAAAAAATACAGTTACACAAGTGTTCCCACAGATGGTGTAGTTTGTTTTGTTGCAACCTGAAGTATGAAATAAACTTCAGTGGAGTTTGAAAACAAAATATGTGTATAGATTTATTATATCTGGTTGAACGATGTGTGTGACCGGTTGATTTTTTTTTTGGGGGGGGGGGGGGGCGGCGTTGAAATTGGGGGGGCCAGAAGAAAATCTTTGGGAACCACTGATGTAGGGGATGGTAATCATTTTGTGTTGTGAACAATTTAAAGTCATTCAAAGTAAGGTAGGTAGCATCCCCAAAGTGTAAAACGTACCTAAAAGATTCTTAATTACATCTCACTTCCTAAATAGATGGAATAAATTCCCACTGAATCAGATAAATCACTTATGTTCAATGGTGCTTCTAGACAAAATTTACCATCTTATTGTGCTGGCAAACAGGCTCAGATGAAGGGAAAATTACACTTAATTTAAGAAAACAGACTTACTTACATTTAATTTTTGCACTGTATGTTTTCAGTACAGGGGCCACAATAGGGACCATGTCCTTAATGTCCCATGGGCTGACCCTGTTGGCTTCTAAAACTACCCATTATCATTTAGTAACTCAAGTAGGTTTTAAAAAGGGTTAAAAACCAGACTAAATTTAAAACCATACAACTGAATTTGCATTATCTATATCCTAGTACCTCTGAGGCTAATTCTGATTTTATTCTTTTGTCTTTTCTTTTTGTAATTCATTGCTGTCCCTTGGACGTTTAAGTTAAAGTTAATTCAAAGAATCTATGTAGCTTTACTTAATTTTTTTCACAAATTTCTACTTTCAAAACATGTTTGCATGTCTAGTTGTTAGAATTTCCATATATATGGATGTACAAGTGGTTAAAACACCTGCATTCTATGGATGATCCAATACATTTTGGGGAAATTATATGTATAAATATTTAGATTAAAATTCCATGAAACTCAACTTGAGGATGTTTAACAAAATACAGACTAGTGTGATGCTGCCTGAATATTTTTAGCAGTCTAGTGTATCCGTGCATGGCTGCAGGAGAAAAGGAAATTATATGAGGCTTGGGATAAACTATCTTTATTCCCGAGTTGGATATTGCTTTATTAACGGTAAGAGATACCAGGTGCTGTACTTTTTCTTAAGGCGCCTTTTTTTTTACTTTGCCCTGCATATTTACTGAGTAAAAGCTTAAGCAATGAAGCAAAGAGCAGTGTTGGATTTTGGAAGTTCAGCATCTGCTGTATCATGTGAACACTTTCAAAACAAAATATAGATCGGGATTCAGGAGATTAATGTATGATTAAAGTGAAGGATAGAAAATCAAAGTCAAACATTTTAATAGTACATACGTGTTACTTTAACCCTAATAAATAAAAAAATAGTCCCACAAAACAAGAGCTGGAGATTAAATACATCACTGCTTAAAGATGAAGAGTTTCTCAAATTTTTCAAGGAAGAGTGGGCATCATACTTGGTGTGCAATGATTTACCAGGAACATCAGCATCTATACTATGGGAGGCAGGGAAAGCAGTGATGAGAGGTAAAATTATTTCATTTTCATCTCATAAAAAAAAGTTAGAACAAAAAAAGATCCAGGAATTAGAGGGAAAAATAAAGTTACTAGAAAGCTCGCTAGATGAGGAAAAGTTAGGGGAAATCCGTAAAATAAAACTAGAACTAAACGAATTTATTGAAAAACAAAATAAATTTTTAATTCAAAGACTTCGAATTGACAACTTTGAACATAGCAATAAGTCAGGAAGCTTCTTAGCTAACCAGCTAAAAATAAACAAAGAAAAAACGACTATATTTGCAGTTACAGATTCAATTGGTAATACATTACAGGATCCGGAGGATATTAACAATGCCTTCCGAGATTTCTATAAATCTTTATACACATCACAGTTAAATCCATCAGATAATGATATCAAGCGATTTCTGGATAAAATAACTCTTCCTAAATTATCAGAGAGTCAAAGAGCGACCCTGGACTCACCGCTGTCTACAGCTGAAGTTCAGGAAGCATTAAAAAACATGCCAAATAATAAAGCGCCAGGTCCAGACGGGTTCCCTACTGAGTTCTATAAAGAGTTCTGGAACATTCTGGCCCCAACGTTCCACAGAATGCTGCAGGAAACTCTAGATAATGGCA